GATTTATTGTTGAATTCAATAAAAAAAAGTTATTAGCCGGGGAATGATAATTTTTGTTGTTGTTTTTAATACATAATATCATTGAAATTAAAAAACTTTTTTCTGCGTGTTCGATACCGATAAACTTTGAAACAATCTGGCAACGCTGCCTACCACCTATCGACCATCAACTCATGAATGGGGGACCAACAGCTTTACTTCCCCTTCCGAAGGAAGGCGTGATCAGAGATTTTATGCCTCAGAAAATCCCGGCGGAGCCGACTGGGATTGAACCCAGGCCTTTTGGGCCGCTCTCTCTGGCTTTGTTGTACAGTACTCTCCATTTCTCGATGACCTTTTTTCGATATTCGTTCCTATCTGAATCATTTCAGCAATTCTGATCCTGATTCAACAACACTTTTAAATTGCTCTTTTGATTGTCGATTTTTCCATATTTAGGTGGTGGAAAGTTAAGGTTCTACAAAGGGTAAGTAATTTTGTGTTCTTCTTCTTTTTTAAATATCATAAAATCATCATCATTAGTTTACACATACATTCATATATTATGAATTCGAAAATTTAAAACATGTATTTCGTGATTTTGGATCGAAAATTTCCTGGGTAAAACACATTCACTGTATTTACTTACTTGTGTTCTTCGAAGTATAGCACAATTAACCGCAATCGAATACACGAAACTCAAAACGACTGCTTCACAAAACACTTGGTGAACAAAATTATCACAAATTTCTACTTTATTGCTTTGCTAGTAATCATGAAAGTATCATTGAAACAGCGGTGCCAGATGTATTGCCTCTAGCAATGAATTTAAGCTTATAAAAACAATTAATTGCGAAGTCTGACTCATTAACATAGATGAGTGGGTAAATATCAAAAACTGATTAAATAAAAAATAAATGACCATTTTAGACATTTTACCGGTCCAATTAAGAAGATTGAATTATTCAACACTAACAGGGTTGATGACAACAGTGCACGTAGCCTGGTATTCACTTTCCCACTAAGATGTGCTCGTTCCCCCGCTGCTGGCATGCAAAAGGACCAGTACTAAGTAGCTAACGTATGTCCATACTACATGACATAGAAGATGGACTCAAATTTAAGTTTAGAAAACGTAGCTTCCTTGTAGACTGTGTAAAACTTTCGAATATGAGAAAAATCGCCGAAAAATTTACTCATTCTAGAAGTATACACTTAAAGAATAAATCACATATCCAATATAAAATATTCATTAGATAGTCAAGTGATATCATAATTGGAAACTGCACCACAAAATCACATGAACCTTATGTGTTAAATGTAATTTAAGTGATTTATCATATAGAACTCATGTGATCACATGAATGTTATGTGAAATTCAGATAGATATCATTGGTTTTATTAATTGAAAAATATTATGTGCATTCCCAATGGAAACTACATGAAAACGTGATTCCGATTGTCATTTTCGTTTTTACTACACTACATCGGTGTATTGTAAGCAGCAATAAGCGCGAGTCATTGACAGCTCATCATTTGTTTGTAAACAAAGGTGCAACCGATAGCTACACCCTGATTTTGTTCGGTGTTCGGCAGTGTAGCACCGCAAAAACGAACATCACTAGTAAATTAGTTGCCTTTTCCGACGCAATGGCACGCTTGTTAGCCAAAAATCATGTCTCCGAAAAAAACAAAAGAGTGAACTATATTGTTTTTACAGTATATTTGCTCAGTTCCGAACAGGGATGCCACTTTTATTTTGAAAAAATCTGACAAAACCCGAAAAGCCTGGCACATTTCTTAAAACATCAGTCTGGCAGAGCATAAATTTATCTGGTTGTGCCAGATAAATCTAACAACCTGGCAACGCTGGTTCCGAGTCTATCTGTAGTCACTTGGTTGGAAGAATTTACACCCGGCCAGCAATCTGTTTGTAAGTGAGGATAGCTATTGTGTTTCTGTGGTGCTCGCGCTAGAGAATGAATTTCACATGCTTGATGGTAAGTGGACAATTCAAGAACAACAATTGAAAAGGCCTCAACTCCATTTTGTAAACAAACCTTGCAAGGCCATTTTGCCGCGAACCGAAGTCCGCCAACGCAAACCAACAAAATGAACAGGTAAGGGAAAATTCTGCTCTACCCGATTGTGTTTTAGGTTCGCGAGAAAATGGCCTTACAAGGTTTGTTTACAAAATAGAGTTGAGTCATTTTCAATTGTTGGTCTTGAATTTGGAAGCAGAGTGATTCACCACCTAATGTGTCCGAAACCTACAAATTGTTAGAGCAACCGCACCAGTCGTTGCCATTTGCGGCACTATTTTACATACGCACAGCGTTTCCATTTTGGCTTAATCACTCCTCTCCACACCGGTCGTTGCTATCAGAGTCATAATTTAAGTAACCGTTTTCCACACCGGCAAAACAAACTTTTGACGTTTATTCAAAACAGCAACCATCTGATGCGTTGCCAACGGGTTGCTAAATTTATGAACTCACTACTTCCCAAGGTGCGGATTGATATTTCCCCCACCTGAATAGCAACCCCCGGTACGCAAGTAGCGTTATGATAGAGGTTGGTAAATGTGCCTTATTTACTCATTGGTACGGGTGCTCTTACAGCGACCAATAGAAAAAGACAACGAACTGATTTAACGGCAAGGACCTACCCATAACCGCATAACAGTCCCACAAGGATAGTAGAATCCAAGGGAAATTTATGCGTTACTAGTGGCGGGAAATAGTACTAGTCGATGGTGATAAATTTATGACAGCCGGTTCAAATTCCAGAATTTGAATGATAAAGTATTGAAAATAAAGTTCAAAATAGTGAGATACGATCATTTTTATGAATGATACGTGTGGGAAATTTGTCGAACAATGCAATGTTATGTGAATTTTCATTGCACTGTGATTGAAAGTTAATGAAAATGCGTTTTTTATGCACCGATATTATTTAGGTTATGTTTTGTATGACTGCAGATTCCCATCCCGAAATTGACGTCCACGTCTGCTGGATATACTGGATTATGTTGGGACTCCGTGCGACCTATACGGGAAGGACTAGCGTTTTTAGAGCCTCAGCATATTGTGTGCCTGGGCTACACCAGTAGAATGGGTTTGTGCTGCAAAGTTCAACTACAGCACTACAACAAACTTTGGAGCTTATATTCAACAAAGTCTGCTTCAAACAAATGATGAAGCATATTCGCTCTGTCCCTGTAAACAGTGGCAACCTTTCTCCACTGCGCGAATTTGTTGCTCCCCGACTTCGGAACTCGAAAAAGTTGAAATTTGTTCTCGTTGCATCCCGGGATAATGCAACGATCTTGCAGCAGCAATGAAAATGTTAACCGTGGAGCTTAACGTTTTATAAAAATAAACTATTTTCCTGATTGCAAGCAGTGACATCATTGAAGTCATTTGCCATTTTGAAGAAGGCTATTTTTTCTACAATTGTACAAACTTTTTGATCACCAAAAACGTATAAAACAATGCAAATATCCAATTTAAAAAGTGAAAATACTGATATGACTCACGTTTGACAGTTGTTTTACATTTTTATCACCGTTACCACAACAGCGCCACTGGTGGCCGGTGGTTGGTTGGAGTTGACTATAGGAAATCAAGCAACAATGGACATGATTTGAAAAATGAAATGTATTAAAGTCTAAGAGGAAGAGGAGACAACTGGCTTCTTTTTGTCTGTGACGTGTTCTTCTTCTCTTGTGGAAACAACCGTGCAAAAACTATTTCATTATGGGCGATGCAGTCGAATGTCAAAATACAAGAAAATAGATTCCCTGTTCTTAAAATTCTTGCATTTCTATACGTTCGCCCGACCAATCAGGCACTGGTTCGCGTTTGACAGAAAATTGGTTCATAAAAGTCCCCCTATTGTCTTTTCTTCTTCTTCTTATATTAATGTTAGCCCAGCACAATGAGGTATATACAGGTGTGGCACAAGAGGGCATTTGTTGGTATTAAAGGCTGACTAAAGGAAAATTGGTACACCCCTCGCGCGCCGCAGGCAAGCCTCTAGTGTTGGGAATCGAAAATATTTGACAGTGGTTTGTTTACACTTCTATAGAGAACAACTGGTGCAAGTTTGATGAAATTAGTCGATCGCGTTCAGAAATGACGTCAAACACCTGGAAAATCCTAAGTGGTCCGGTTCCAAGCTGGCTAAAGTGCTGAAGATGGCGAAAACAACAGTTTGTAGAGTGCTCAAAACCTACAAGGAAACCCTGAGTGTGGAAAGGAATCAACGGATCTACGAAAAAACTGGAACCAGGGATCGTCAGCTGCGCAGTAAGGTGTTGAGGTGCGTTAAAGCCAACCCCGGACTTTCGATCCGAGATGTGGCCAGAAGATACAACGCCAACTTTCAAACGGTGCGGAACATCCTTGCCAGGGAAGGATACAAGTCGTACAAAGCCAGTAAACATCCGAACCGGCACATGAAGCAGAATTCCGTGGCCAAAAAGCGTGCAAGGCTCTTGTTTGTTTTGACGAAATACCCGATTTGGCCAGCTGCCACTACTTCAAGGTGGTTCTGTAGTGGTATCACAAACGAAGTGACAGACGACTTTTTCGGGAGCCTGTCGCAGTCAACGATAACAACTGGAGTGCGGTAAAAATCGGTAGAACTGTTTCAAACACATCGTCGGTATTTGAGCGTGTCGGTGATCATCTCTTTTTGCCAGTCGTGGCGGGGATTCCCACTTCCCATCCCTCTCCAACGGGGGAGTTTGGTAAAGAGAGATGATAAAACCGATTTGTACCTTCCTAAAGTTGTCCTTGCTCGCTTTCTACTCTCTATATGCAATTTTCACACTGCCGTACTTTGACGGAGCTATCAATTCTATACTTTCATCTCCTCATCTATCGTATAAAAATTACCACTTTAGTCTGTTATTTGAAATTAGCATCTTCAACTATGTAAATCGTTGACTTCACGCAGAAGTAATACTAAACACATAGTCAAAGCATTTCATAATGTTATCCATTAAGAGTACTTACCGTTTATCAGGATTCAAGTCACAGCACAAAAATGCAATCTTATAGAAAGGTTCTGGACATTGGTCGCAAAACTTCTCCTTAAAAACTGCTTGATTCAGTCCAAAATCCGAAGTCCTCGGCAAAAAGTCAGGGTCAGCCTGCACTCGCCCTATGATCTCGCAAAGCATGATACCAAAGGAAAAGATATCGACTTTTTCGTCGTACTTATTCCCTCGCATCATTTCCGGAGCCATCCAATAAGGATTTCCTACAACGGTATAGCGTTGACGGCGAGGCCTTCCACGTCGACCGATGGTTCCAGTTCCGTTAGTTTGCGAACACTTTTCGAACGCTGTGCTGAAAGGCTGCTTGATGATTCGTGCTAATCCAAAATCGGCCACGATCACCGTCCTATCTTCCCGTACGAGGCAATTGAGCGAGTTCAGGTCCCGATGTATAATATTCATGGAATGTAGGTAACTCATACCACAGGAGATATCCCGAGCAAAGCTAATTCTCTGTCCCCACGGCAGAGGAAGGCCGGAATCATGAATCAGTTCTTTTAGTGAACCGCCCGGTATGAATTCCGTCACCAAGTGTAGCTTCTTATCTTTGTACAGCACTCCTATGAAGCGCAATACATTGTGATGCGATAGAGACCGCAGTACGGCTACTTCTTTAAGGAAATTTGTTTGCGCTTCTTCATCCACTCGGTATAGTTCTTTCAGTACCATCACTTCTTGTGTCACCCGGTGCGTCACCTTAAACACCTGACCGAAGAAACCTTTCCCCAGCAATTCTCCCTGCACGAGATCCGATGCCCGGAAAATTCGAGCTGCTTTCTGCTCAACCCTGAAGGATTTGGTACGAGACAGATCGTAGAAATCTCCACTGTGATGATGTTGCTGGTACTCGTCCAGCAGTTTGGACATACTGGAACTTCGCTCCTTTTCTTTAAGACTGTTTGAAGCTAGAAAAAATGAAGATTGGTAGGTTTCTTGGAATGACAACAATTGTCTCCCTCAAAAGTACTTACCATTGTTACAGTTTACGTCTTTCAGACGCTTTTGTAGCTTTCGCGAAGTACCACTTATGTAACCTTCGTCTTTTTTCTTGAAAATTCTTTCCTTATCGTACTTATTTGGCGAGGGAGAACGTTCTTTGAGCACGTTGTTATCGACGGTGAGGCCGGTACTGTTACAGTTGGCATCCATCGATGCCACTACTTGCTGTTCGTCGGTGGCGTTCTTCCGACTCAAATGACATCGATCAACTACTTCTGGATCGTGTTCCACTGTCAGCTGAAGAACTTTGCCGGAGTTTTGAATTAACTGTTCCACGTTTTCAAGAGGAGCATCTCTGACTGGTGTACCGTTTACTTCGAGAATTTTGTCTCCGATATGCAGGGACATCAGATCGGATGTAAGATCAATTCTAAGGAAAATTTGGTAAAAGAAAAAAGGGTAAGTCAATACGCATTCTGGCTCGTAGGCTTTGAATAGCGAAATAAAGCCGAGGCAAATGGTTAAGAACTTTGCGATTATTTACCTACAATGTAGCACCCCGCAACAAGCGTCTAGGGCAGTAGATACACATGAGAAAATGTATTTTCCAACCTGCCCATAGAAAGTGCAGAACACCCTATGAAATTGTTAGTGAAAGTTAGCCGGTTAGTAATTTCGAAGCACAAGAAGATGAAATCAGTGAACAGTGAAAAAAAACAGAAGACTTACTCCGAGATTCGAACTCCTTTGCATCCCGCGGCGGAATGCGCTGGAAGGCCATAAAGGTGTTCCTCCACCGATAGGCGAATACCATCCTTCTTAACATTGGACCACGGAATCTCTACTAGCCGAATAGAGTGCGGGGTCTTCTTCGATGCACCATCGGTTTCATTTGTCATGGCACTGCCTGAAATTTGTCGTACCGGTTTTGAGGTATCCTTAAACTGCCTCTTGTAGCATTGTCCACTGAGAAAAAAGATAATCTTTTCAATACAATCATAGTTCAATAAGAGAATTTAGTTTAAACTTACCAAAACAGCTTGGATCGTTCTATGAGCGCATATGCCTCTCTGTCACCAATAAAAATCTTACACGAGTCACAGCAAAAGCACTCCGGATGAAATTTGTGATCTCCAGCAACCATAACAGGACCGGAAATCACCTAAAACGAAATCACCGTTGCAATGAAATGCGCAGCCTGAAAAACAAATTAAAAACCCACCTGACCACACTGTTGGCAACATTCGCCATACTTTGCCCAGTAGTCATCCTTGCAGAACAGCAAACCCTCCTTCTCGAAATACCAGCTCGAAAGATGACTATCGCACACTGAGCACCTGCAAGTAACATTCGATTAACACAGTCCGATAAGAAACAGAAAAGGAAACGAAAAGAAGAACGTATAATATAATTCGATTAGAGCGCGTCCAATGAGAAAACACATTTGAAATTCGTTTCCTATTTTCGTTTCGACTTACTTTTAATGGTGCATCGGTCAACTTAAGTTTTGCAATACACATGGGCTTACCTGAAGCAGTCAGCGTGCCATTCCTGTCCGAGTGCGGCAATGTATTCGTCTTTTTCTATTGCATTGTAGCAGCTAGCACACGATAAATCACTTTTTCCTGTGATTGAAAAGAACAAACAAAAATTAGCGTTATGCCATAAATCAATACAGTCGTGCCGTTTGATGATGTCCATATCCAACCCAACTCCTGCCTAGACTGATATAAGTTGAAAACAAGCAAGGCAGGTTGGAATTTCAAAACAAAAACAATCGCACACAGTTCAATGATTGTTCATTTACATGCCCACATTAAGAGTTGTTTGGGATATTTAATTGAAGAGTTATTTTTAGCAACAAATTCAAAGAATTCTCGTTAAGTATTGTTCTTGTTTACTGAGTTCTTCATTTTTAAGTTCTCCTATCAAGCACCTACGAATCAGAATCTTGACGTTTAGCAACCACCCAAAGACCCTCAATGTAGTCATATCCTATACCTCTGGCCACAGAGTATCGATTTCCCTCAATGGCCAACATTCGATACCATGAACTGATGCCAGCAAAAACAAAATTAATTTATCTTTTCTCTTAGCGCCGCTACAGAAATGCCAAGGTCAATCGAGGATAAAAGCAAATTTCTACTGGCTAGCACCCGTTTTCACTTGTGCCGTTTCAAAGTCACTGCCGACGACGACGACGACGACGACGCCGTGCAGTCGCATCGCAATACCGTCGTTCTTGAGCGGCGTTCTTATTTGATTTTCCGATTCCGAACGACTTCGTGAAGAATGTAGTGATAAAAGGTACTAACCAACAACTTGCTGCTCCTCTTCTTCAGTAAATACATGCAGGAAAAGAAATCGGCTCAGCGAACTCCGGTGACTCAGCCACCGCATTGGAACGCAGCAATATTTCAAAACATAGTGCATATCATATTATATAGACAACACACATTATTTAATGCTCGTCGCATACACCAACACAACCAAAGCCAAGACGGCCATTCTCGGAACAAATTCTTTCTCCTTGATCAAATTCGCTTCCGATTTCAGCTAATTCCTTCGAAAAACGTCTTCTGGTCCGATTCCATCCAGCGAAATCCACTTTGCCATCACAGTAATGATGAATTTCTCCCAACGAAAATTAGATAAACATATAGCAATTCATAGCAATTCGTCGAAACTTGAATTTTCAAACTTTTGCATACATAATCAGATCTCCCACGCACCAATCTTCATCTGTGATTTTTCACTTCATTATCACCGATTTTCCGGCGCTTAAAGCTACTTATTCACTCCCATCATAGCGTTCGCAAATTTAATATTTGAATTACACGAAAAAAAAACCGATAATATTTACCTTTCTGTCCATTTTTATCCATAGTTGCATCTTTTTCTCTATACTCTTCAACACTGCGACGACTACGACGCTAATAAAATTTTCGATTCTATATCAATCCTGGCGTCCACTTGACCAGCGTTTTCTCGTTTCCCCTCGGCATATCAACAAACAACGCGTCAAACGCTATTTATGTGTCACCTGGTATAGTATTTTTCGATGAAAATAAAGCCGTTCATTCAGAGGTACACGCGATTAGGTCAACAAACTTATCCCAGGTTATAAATTTATTTATTTATATATTTTGAAATTTTGTGGTATTAATACACAGCAAAAAAAAGTTGGTGAATATTACATCGAAACTGCTGCAACCAGGTCAATCCATCGGTTGTGTAATATCACATTGTACGATGTACATCGATTTTGCGAACAAAATTACATCCATTGATGTAATATTGTATCTGCTTTTTGCTATTACATCATTATTTCATACATCAGCTTGAATTACGTTGATCGATATGTGTACCTGTATAAATAAATAATTATTTATTTATTTATATAGGGGAAACATCCCTATTGTTGCGGTACGTTAGAAGCGTTAGAAGCCTATTTTTGTGTATGAAGGTCTCCATACACAACAATAGGCTTCTAACCAAGGGAGTAGCCAGGTTTCGAGCTAGAGAGGAGCGAAAAAAAAATTACTATGGAAAATTTGGCCGAATGCCATTTCACCGAACGCCATTTTCCCGAAAGCTTTTGTATTGCTGAGTCTTCTCCTTGACAAAGCTGAAGTAACTAGTCGAGAAAAGTGATTCATGTATACTATTATAAAGCCTCTACTCAGCGATCTTGTTGTACACTCAGAAAAAAAATTAAACTAATTAGTTTAAAAATCACACTAAAACGCTATTCGCCTGGTTGACCCCAGGCTTCGTTTAGTTGCCAACAAAACGAGCCTAGTATAAACTTGAAGTATAAGGGGTATAGTTTATCTTTTGAATATTCATGCGTAGTTTACCGGTGGATTATCTATACAATGTATTTGATCACTGTCCTTTTAATTTTGGTATTTTTATTGATTGAAAAGCAATAAATTCAAACAATGTATAATTTATTTTCTTAGAAAAGTGAAAACCTTGGTGAAGCAATCAAATCTTTTGCAATCGTGCTCCGGATCAGACTCTCTGGTCGACCGTTTTCTTGGTTCGGATTTGGACCCGAGAAGCTTTAGTTTGAACTGCTTGGCAAAGGATTTCTGGGCAGGCGTTTTGGTACGTACGATCTCCTGTTCCGCCGAGGCATCCGTTAGCATATCCGTGTCGGAACGGATGACCTCCTTGATGGACTGCAATTCTACCATCGATTTTCGACGCTGCTTTTTGTTCAACTTTACACGATAGTTGAAATCGAACACGGTCGATAATCCGGCGGAGGATACTTCATTCTTCGGAGAAGTCAACGATTTGATCTTTTTCGAGCTGAGCTTCTCGAGCCTTACGACCGGTATGGCTCGAAGCAACTTTTCGACGGAAGCCCCTCGTGGCAGTCAAATCTTCTTGACCAGTTACCAGCTCCCACGAGGCATCCCTAGAACAAATGAAAAATATTCAGTATTCCAATACCGATTCACCCACCTCCGCCTCACTTACTTTTCCGGTATATAAATCATACGCTGCTGCATCTCCTGGCTAAAGTCGTCCTTGTTGCTGCACAAAGGGCACTTGAAAAAGTACCCCGCCGAATGGGGAAGCTGTGCCACGCAGCTCCGATGGAACCAGCCATTCGGACAGCACGGGGCACGAATCGATTCCAGCTTCCTGTAGGTCCCATCTCATCGTTGCAAATCCCACCGGCCTCGGTCTCAGAGTATTTCACCTTATCCACCAGCGCTACGAGCTTATCGCACCACGACTGGAACGTATCCATGGATCGCACGTATGCAACAGGCACCTTTTCCGCATCCCACAGAGCGTATGAAATTTACAGAAGCACTGCTCTACGCAGCAAGTAACGGTAGCATACCGCTCCTTGCAGATGTAAAAGTGCTACGATACGAGCTTTCTCATTCCTGATGTCCTCCTCCATGAATCCGAAGATTCCCTCCTCGTCTTCCCCATGATGGACCAAATTCGACGTCAGCAGCTGAAATAAATTTCCCATTAGCTAATCATTCACAACCTAACAAATGTAAGCAAACCTACCAGACAGCGGTAGAGCACCCGAATGCGCCACTTTTTGTGAAACACCATGAAACTCAATCCACGGATTCCACGTAATGGTCAGATTTTCCACCAGTTCCAGTCTAATCGACACAATTTCCATAATATGCACTAATGACCGCCAGCTTGGACCACGGTAAAAACAAAAAACAAAACGCGCCACCTACCCACCTACCGCTTGCAGCACAACTAATCTAGGTGTGGTAAGAAATAATCACCCTAGACATGAATACTTTGGGAAGGCTTTTTGACTGCTATTCATACTTGGTATAAACACAGACAAACAGACGTAACTCTTTGAAAAACTTGTTCTTGAAAACATAGTATCTCAAAACATATAACCTCAGTAGCGACATCTCTCTGGCTTCTCGCGGAAAACAATCTTGCTCGTTAACTCGTAAACAATATTGCATAAAAGTTCTATAGAATATATAGAAACGTCAAAGTGATTCGATGCCAGCGCTGCGGCGAGTAGTTCGCGGAACTGATAATATTCAAATCAACCGTTAAATGCATGAACGAAGATACACAATGAAGAGTTACGTCTGTTTGTCTGTGGTATAAAGTTTAAGTTATGATAGTGTAAAAATTTAATCTATGGAGCGTATACAACCGGTGAATTTGAAAAATGTTTATTTTTTAATCTATTAACGAATTGTATTATTTTTGAGTGTAGAAGGGCATGTAGATTTGTTTACATCAGTTCAAAGTGTTGGCGTAGCTAAGTTGGTAGTGTCAAGGTTTGTCAATGCGGTCGTCTCTATAGTCGCTATATTCATAGTCTGGCGGATAGAATTTCGATCTATCAAAAAGCGGAACCAATTCAATATATTGTAGACCAACAATTGAAAAGGCACTACCAACTGTTATAAACAAAACGTTGATTCTAGGGGAAGGCCAGCTTCAACTTCAAGTATAAGCATCAATAACGATGGTGGAAATATTAAATATTTTAATATTTGTGATATTTGTGAATGTCATACTTAGTCTGACAGTTGTTTTTTTTATTGTTTTTGACTATTTTTGGTTTTAAGTGTACATTTGACATTCGTTTAGTGGAAAATGGATTTCATACGAGAGGCAAGTTATTCCCTTCGCTATTATTCAAATATTTTTTTTTTTAATTTGAATATTTGGTTCTTTGATAAAAAAAAAAACTTGAATGCGTGAAATATACGGGATTTACGCAGAAAACCCGGAAATTTACAGAGGGGATAAAAAACTAATCCTGAAGCTGGCAAACACTATTCGTGATGCAGGCTTGCATCAATTCATGCCATCCAGCTAAACGAACAATTCGAAATCCGAGCTAATAAATTCATTTGAAACGGAAGTGTTAGAAAGAGTCCAATCATAATTCAAAGAACGGTATACATTTGTTTGAATTATTTTTCCAATTATTTATCAAATGCTGTGGATCTGTGTTGATTGATTCTAATTGAATGTAAAAAATTTTGCCGGACTCGGAAATCTATCGGCAAGAGTATCTCTGTCGAAAGGAGGGTACAGAATGGCAATCATTACCTGTGTTCTCAAGTTCTCAATTATTATTCCCTATTTATTTATGAACACGCAGATGCACATGTAAAACAAGGAAAAATAATCGAAGTTGAAGAATGGAGCGGGGGTCTTATCTGGGTGGGATGACTGTAGCCTGTCTTTTACCAACACGAAATTAAAAAAAAACATCGACACGCCTAAGCCTCCGTGCATTCTCGGTGGAACACAACACTTGATCTTGCTGGCCGTCACCACCGAAATCTACTCCTTGTCCTCCTAAATTCGACATTCCTTGGTACCTTGGTACATGATATCAATATACACGTTCCGTGGTCGTTTTCGCTTGATTCGCCATGAGCCGTTAGTCGACATTCAAACTTGATGTTTACAACCGAGAGTATATTACCTTGTTTATGTATACCGTGATTGAGTGTATTCGTTATAGCTACACTGTTAAAATTGTTTACTTTGTAGCTTTCCGTTTGACAGTTAATATCATTAACATTTATATTAAAAACTATAATAATTACTAATTTGAGCAATTTTTACACCAAATATTACTTCAGATCAAGTTGTACTTCCCCTAGCGTTGATTATTCTTTCCTCGCCAATCAAACACAAATTACCAGCATCATCGGATAGGGGAAACTTTGCGTAGGCAAGCCTTGAGTCACCAGAAAAGGGTTTCCGAAGTTTTGTTCGCAATAGCTGATGTGCTCTTTTCAGTTGTTGGTCATGATTTGCTCGATTGGTTCAGCTTTTTGACAGCTCAATTGGTTCCCGAGATTCTATCCGCCAGACTATGAATATAGCGATTATAGTCATCTCAAGTTCGATTCCGGGGCAAGGTAAATAAACTTGGTGGTGTTCTAATTTCGATTAATCTGATTCACAGTAAAATAAACTTAATAAAATCCTCCGACAAAAAAGCGCTAAACAATATTTAAAATATTTATATTTAAAGTTTGGCTTCCAGTCAAAGCTGTGTAGTGATTATTGGATAACCGGGAAAAAGTTAAATAAGCGCCTTTCAAGTTCACACACAACTAAACAGCAGGATAACAACTGCAAAGAAGCGTAAATGGATATGCGATAAGAGCTTTTCCCAACCGGTCCCAACAGCCATAAGTAGCTGA